GTTCATTTGGAAACACAAAGACTGCAAATACCCAAGGTAATACTGAAGAAAAAGAGCAATGCTAGAGGTATCACAGTACACAACTTCAAACTATACTACAGAGCCATAGCAATAAAAACAGCATGGTACTGGCACAAAAACAGATATGAAGACCAGTGGAACAGAATAAAAGACCCGGATATGAATCCACACAGCTATGCCCACCTTATTTTTGACAAAGGCACCAAAAACATACAATGGAGAAAAGCCTCTTCAGCAAATGGTGCTGGGAAAAGTGGCTGCCTGCAGAAAACTGAACCTAGATCCATGGCTAACATCCTGTACTAGTATCAACTCAAAGTGGATTAAGGACCTTAATATCAGACCTGAAACCTTCAAGCTAATACATGAAAGAGCAGAGAATAACCTAGAAACGATAGGTATAGGCAAGGACTTTCTCGGTGGAACTCCAGCAGCCCAGCAACTAAGAGAAAGGATGGACAAATGGGACTACATGAAATTAAAAAGCTTCTGCACAACAAAAGAAATGGTCTGTAAATTAAAGAGACCACCCACAGAGTGGGAGAAAATATTTGCTAGCTATACATCAGAATGATAACCAGAATATATAGGGGGCTTAAACAACTAAACTCCCCCCAAATCAATGAACCATTAAAGAAGTGGGCAACTGAACTAAACAGAACTTTTTCAAGGGGAAAAACCCAAATGGCCAAAAACACATGAAAAAGTTCTAACCATCTCTAGCCATAAAGGAAATGCAAATCAAAACCACACTAAGATTCCACCTCACCCCTGTTAGAATGGCTATCATCAAGAACACCACCGACAGCAAATGTTGGCAAGGATGCAGGGAAAAGGAATTCTCTGCCAGTGGGAATGTAAGCTAGTACACCCACTTTGGAAAACAATATAGAGGCATCTTAAAAATCTAACCGTAGATATGCCATATGATCCAGCAATACCACTCTAGGAATATACCTGAAGGAATGCGACTCAAGTTATCACAAAGGCACCTGCACACCCATGTTTATTGCAGTACTATTTACAATAGCCAAGCTATGGTAACAGCCAAGATGTACAACTAAAGATGCACAATGGAATTTTACTCAGCCACAAAGAATAATGAAATCTTGTCATTCACAAGTAAATGGATGGAACTGGAGAACATCATCTTAAGTGAAGATAGTCAGGCTCAGAAGGCCAAAAATCACATGTCCTTCCTCATATGCAGATTATAGACCCAAAACAAATGCAGTAATACTATTGGACATGGGTCACACACTAAGGATAGAACATGCACAGGAGAAATAGGGAAAGGGAAGGAAACCTAAAACTTGAATGTGGTTGATGTGCTCACTGTAGAGGAGTGAATATAGTAATCTTAAACTGGCAGAGGCCACTATGGGAAGGGGACCAGGAAGTAGTGAAGAGGTCTGGTAGAGATGAACCAATGTGGGTTGCAACTCACAAATGCATGGAAGCAATGCTAGGAATCTCTCTGTATAGCTATCTTTATCTTAAACTAGCAAAAACAATATGTCTTTCTTATTATCTCCTATATTTTCTCTTCAACCAAATCAGAGAATGAGAGGGTAGAACAGGTTCTGCCTGGAAGCTGGCTGGCAGGGGGCAGTGGAGGGGAGGTGGCACAATGTATACACATGTAAGTAAATGTAAAAACAATAAAATAAAAGGAGAAAGAAAAAAATTACTCTTGAACATTCCTTTCCTTGTATTCAAGAGACAATAAGTTGAGACTTTAAAAAGTAGTGGATGTTGGGCGTGGTGGTACAAGCCTATAATCCGAGCATTCAGGAAGCTAAAGCAGGAGGATCATGAGTTCAAGATCAGCCTGGGCTATATAGTGAGCCCAGTCCCAAAAATTAATTTATTTTTGAGAGTCTCAAAAATAGATAAGGGCTGGAGTCATGGCTTGACTAGTAAGTGTGAGACCCAGTACTACCAAAAAACAATCATAAATAAATAAAGTAACAAAAAGACCCAGTAAGCAATTTTTGAGAATTCAGTTAAGTAAATAATTTCCAGTTAGGGTCATGGAGTCATTTCCATGGCGATGTATTGGAATCACATGGGGAGGGTTTTCAAATGACTTCCCTGCCTTTCCAGAAACTGAGGCATTCATTGTGGCATGTCTGACACTCCATAGTCCTGATCCCTGCCTGGATTCTAAGTCACTTGAGAAATACAAGAGTAATACAGATTGGGTTAAAAAAAAAACACCCACCTTTGAGTCGTAGAGTTAGTATTGTAGGACATAGTTTATGTCTACTGGTAACCATCTTCCTAGTAATGCATTTCCAAGCCAGCTACATACTGCTGAGTCATTACTGGCCTCTTTCTGCGGGAACAGGGCCCTTAAAATCTTCTGTGAAGGCTCAGACAGCGCTCACTCTGCCAACAGCTCACCAAGAACAAAGATCAGAACCACGCATGTCCAAAATTCTCTTTTTTCCCAAATTGATCAGTCAAGTAGTTCTCCCCAAAAAGAGGAGTAAGTGAGGAGGTGGACCAACCAGTAATGTAATGTAATGCCTATTCCCCTACATGGAGGGAAACGGTGCATGTGGGCTAAAATTGTCACATCTATCACCAGATTTGGACTCAACCCTCCTTGAATTTAGACTTCCTTTGAGAGTTATCCCCTGTGTCCCAAGCACCTGGGCTGTTTGGAAATAGGGGACAGTGAACAAGAAGGCTGAGAGTAGTAGTTTGAATGGCTCATTCTTGTATGTATTGAGTAAGTTTTCACAAGCAGTGTGACTTAAAACACTGTGTGGAAGGAGCTCTGGTGGAGTCTTGGTAGTAAGGACAGCCTTTCATTACCCAGTTCCTAAGGACAACGCTCCAAAGGTACAACCTTGAGTACATTGTAAATACATGTGACACTTCGAATGGCAGCAGTGTTATTAAAGAGTCGTTTCACCCTGTTTGCTCTTTTTTGGTATAATTAGTGTAACACTCTCCCAGGATAATCACTCTGGAGATTTCTGTCACTTGCCTGACAGGTGCAGGCTACCTAATCATGTGTTCATTTCACTGGGGTAGACAGCTAATGAGCAGAAAGCCTTTTGTATTTTTTTTTATATAAACTCCAAGCTTAGCTGATTTTTGCAATAATATCTTTGAGCTTTTAATCACTAGGAGGCTATTTCAATCAAACGTTTTCCATAATTTGATACTTCAACATTGCTTCTCCTCCACAAAGAAGTAGATACCTTTCCAGAACAATCATTGCTGTATGTTGCGTTCATCAGTTGTGTGCATCTGCATGTCAAGTTGATTGGAGCTTTGTGATAGAAAAACAAAGGTGCCAAACAAATTACATCAAAGATTCCAAACACAGGAGATGATTAAAATTGTACACAATGTTGAGTTACTTGTGCTTGTAGACTGTGCCAATAATAGTATGTGGAAGCTCAAATATTTAACTAGTTGAAGAGATTTGTTGTTCATACAACTGTGGAAAACTGGGGTTCATATGATAGGTCTGTTGTTTCAATATTTTCAAAGAATAAATGAAACATACAAAAAGCGCTTGGTGTATAACTCATCAATTAGCATGAAATAATCCCATGAGCACCTTGATATTATAGTATTTTACAGATAATGAAAATTAAATACCTGTTTTGTCATTGATTTATATTATAATTTACCACTGTTAGATCACCATGGTATTACATAAGGCACTTGCTTTGTATTTTCTACTCTTGGCTAGCTATTAAATAGTTGTCAGAATCTCTGAAAGTTACTCAAAAATGAAAACTGTGATAATTTTTTGAATCAATTATTTACTCAATCTTTTCTGTAAACTTCCTGAGGTAGAATTATTCTTAATTAAGCTGAGGGCTATTTAGTCCTAATGATCTTGTTTATTTTGCATTTTGGTCATGCTTTAAGTAGTATAGTGCTAACAAATGAGGATTCTGGCTTATAATATGCTTTTATGATAGTCTCTAACAGATGTGAGAAGTTTTCATATTTAATATTTCCTTTCAGTCAAAACACCTTTTTGTCTTTTATCAGTTGACAACTTGAAAGGTCAGTGTCTTCCTCTTTTCATTTTATTTTGGAGACTTGCATTCACAGTTCTATGAATAGGCTCAGAAATAATGGGAGGGACAAAGCCTTACAGAAACACCAAGCATTTCTTTCTGGCACTGACGTGTTCCCTTTGGTCATCAGACCTTGAGAAACCTAGGATGTCAAAAAGCTTGTAGAGAGAAACTGCTTCTCAGCTAGTGTGCTGTGAAATTAAATAAGAAGTTAATTTTGAAAATAGTTTCTGTGCCATTGAAGGTCCTTTTAAACTTTAGACATTGGTAACACCATTACCTCTCTAACTAGCCTCTTATATGTTGTTAAATAGTAACCATGCTTTGCTTTCTTAACTACCTTGGGCAGCTAATTAAATAATTTATGCAATTGCACTCTACATATTTATGTTTCTTGAAGACTCCTAGCTCAGTGACCAAGTTCCAGAAAAGAAGGGGGGCTGAGATTTGAACTTGCAAATCACTCACATTCATTTAAAGAAGGAATGAGACCAATGAGTTTTTAACATTCCAGAGCAAAAGTTGTACCTTATTTTGCATATGGCACTGCTATCTGAAAATAGTTAATAAATGATAACCATACCCTCAGAATATTTACCAATGAATAAACCAGAAATAGAAGATATTTCTTTAAAATGGTGGTGACCTTGATACTAAAATAGTCTCATGGGCATTTTCCCCTCCAGATCTTCTCCCTGGATGACTCACCAAAGTGGAAGACATTTGTTGAACCCACTGGATTTTAAAGCACATTTTTATTGTGGAGAATCTACTCTGTAATCATCTAGGGGCAATTTTAAGATCTACCCTGATAATATAATTTTCCAATGTAGCCAATTAATTTGCTTTAAATATTTAATGAGTTCATTATCAGCAGTTAAACTGACATGAGCTTTTGTGTGTGGATGTGTTGTTGTTCATCCCTAGGTATGCCGTGACAATTCCGTACAGTCCATTTTATCTTCAAGGCTCCTTGCTAGCCCATCTTATGTGGACATGATGTCATCAGAACTGGCAATACAAGCTTTAAACAAAGAGCTTTGCTTTCAATGGTACATTCCTCCCCTGGACAAACCTCTAAAGGAGGCCCTCCCAACAGAACCTATGGTATGTAATGTAATGATAGAGTTAAATCTTCCACTGAGGTATATAGTTGAGGCCCATCATAAACATAAAAGGTGGCAGCTATCAGTTCCTAAACTATTGAAGATTGATCAATGGTTCAGATTCTAGGGGAGTCTTGAAAATGGGTCAGGCTTTAAAAATTGGAGCAGTTGATCAAGATAGCCTTTTGCAGAGAAACATTCCACTTTAGAATTCCTTTGATTGCTGCTTTCTCAAAGATATCTGCCATATAGTTTTTCCCTGTCCAGCATTTTTATGTACTTTTTGTCTTCTGTATTGGTGTACTCTATTTTTTGGGCAGCACTGGAGTTTAAAACTCAGGGCCTCACACTTGCTAGGCAGGTGCTCCTTCTACTTGAGCCACTCCACCAGTTGTATTGGTCTGCTCTTGCACTTCTTCGTGCTTGAGTGTTGTCCCCTCTAGCTGTGCCTCTGGTAGTTTTTGCAACTCCTTGACTCATGTGACCCCTGTCAAATCATGAAACCTCTTGGCCTGCCTCTCTGTTCTCCAGCACTGCTTCTCATATTGGCCCCTTCATCCTACTTCCTTAGGCTGAAAACCCACTACTAACTCTTCACCAATTATTCAGCTCTTTCTATTCAGATGAAAAGAAAAACTTTACCATATTACTCCCAGAAACATTTGAAGCTGTTTCCCACCTTTTAAAGTATAGTCATCTCTCCGTATCTGAGGAGGATTTACGGTATCTGGCATTTCCTAAGAATATAAAAATCCATGGATGCTCAAGTTCCTTGTACAACATGGTGTGCTATTTGCAGATAACCTATACACATCTGCCTGTGTACTTTAAATCATACATGATGATTTAACTATTACATTCACAATGTAGTAGTTATGTAAATAGTTGCTATACTGTATTGTTTAGGGAATAATGATCAGAAAAAGTCTATACATGTTCAATACAGATGCAGTTTTTTCAAATATTTTCTGTTGAATCTGAAAATATGGAACCCATTGATGTAGAAAACTGCCAGTACTCCACCCTCCCCAGTCAAACCCTTGCCAAATAGTGCATATCCACTTAAAAATAATGAATCTATCAGGGTATTAATAAATAATCTATTTTTCAGGGTAGTTTACCACAATAGTTTTCAAACTGTGGTTCCAGAAATACTAATAGATGAGTTGAATAAATATAGTGGGTTCAAGTAGCATTTTCTAAAAAGAAATGAAACACAAGAAATATCAGAATAAATCTCATATAGTAGGAACAGTGTTTTCTTAACATTTTGCTCCATGATATATATTGTTAAAAACAAAATTTCTTAGGTAGGTTGATCTTCATAATATGTCACAATCTACTTGCTGGCATGAAAGCCAACAGATAAAAGCGTATATTCATGTGGGAAGAATTGGGGAAATAGAATAGTTACCTAAGCAACTAGTTTAAAAAACTAAGGAAGAAAGTACAAAGTTCATTTCATAAAGTCATAGAAGCATCATATCCACATCAGTTAATGCAAGGGGCAGATTGAGTTATGATAACCTTGTGCTTCTTTTAGAAAACAACAATAACAAGCCAACATCTAAGAAGCAACTGCTAAGACTACATCTGTGGCCTAATTAGAATAACAAGGTTTTGTCTATAAACAATCCTGTCTGACAGTTAACAAGGTTCATGAACTGATGTTAGATAGGATATTAGAAACACAGTGCCAAACAACAAATTTTGATTTAAGCTGAATGATTTTCTCAAGCCACAAGAAAACATGCAAAACACACATTTTTTCCTATTTCTTACTTTGGGTACATTTTTCCCTCTTTAACAATGAGTATGTTAAAAGATAAAAGACCTATTTGTTGTTGTTATAAAGCTCAGTCAAAAAAAGTCAAGAAACATTTACCCTGATAGACTAGATATTTTCAGACCCCAAATTCTGTCTTCTTGGAAGGTGACATTGAAATGTCTTTGTTGATGTAAATATTGGTGTATTTGTGTGTGGATATACTCATCATTTTAGGACTTTAGTATAGAACTCAGTGTTGAAACTAGCTGAAGCTCATAAAACCTGTGAGCTAAAACAGAAGTCGTTGTGGTCCAGGCACTTCACTTATATTACCTTCACAAATTACCTTTGCAGATACTCTACGAGGTAAGTGAAACCACTATCCCTGTCTTATAGATGAAGACTGAGACCCAGGATGGAGAAATGCTAGTGGGCAAGGAGTCAGATTGGAGCTGACTCTACAGTTTGCATGCCTAAGTGGGCTGCCATATTGAGTCCTCAGATTATGGCTGCAGGTTCTCTGAGCCTGTGGGAAGGATGGCGATGAAAATTACTATCTGAATGAGTGCGTTACACTTTCCAGAGGATAAAAGGATCACTGCAAGCCAGAGTATATTCACATCACCAGATTACCTAGTTGATCCATTTCAGTTTACCTACAATACTGAAACAGAATTGCCAACAGGAGCCAGGGGTGCTAGTGGCAGCAGAGTCAATATCTTGCCATTGGGGATTTTGATTAAAAAATTGTTTTTATAATTCAGAAGGATAAATTTGCACATGATACTTTGGAGTTGAGTTTATAACTTGGAAAAGCTTGATTTCTTAAGTGTAGGAAATTGAAATCAGATTATGATATTTGAAAAATTTACTACTAGTAGAATATAGGAGAACCACATAAGAAGTTGTTCTTTGGAACTTCATTAACAATGTAAGTGTCTCTTGAACAATCGCAACATCTTGTATGGACAGACACCAAAGGAACTGCCAAGGTCGATCATTCTAGGAAAGCTCTCAGGCACTGGCTTTCCAGACAGCTGTGAAGAATGGCTGAGTTAAGTCGAAGAGACATATAACCACAGCTCATCCATAAAAAGATATAACCAAAGCAAAAGTCTCATGGTCCAAATTTGTCTCAAGAGTATACCTTAGAGCCTGAGCTTTATCTGCCTCATCTTCCTGGTCTTTTTTAGCATCCAGTGTTTCTATTTGTGGGTCAGAATGAGCTTTGAATTATGTTTCTGACTTGAGCAGAGCTAGTAGGGGTGAGGGCTGTAAGGAATCCTCAGCTGGCCCTCCCTTCAGGCATGTAAGGCCTAATTTAGAGGTCTGCTGCAGCAACGCTTCAAAGGATGTTTTGTTACATGCAGCTAGGCACTCTAAAGCATGGTGTCCTGAGGCCACAGAAGACTCAGGCAAACAAACATGACCAAGCACAGGAAGTTTGATCAAGCAAAACACTGCAAAGCCACTCTATCTGGCAAGGGAAATGGATAGAACTGAAATGGCTCCTGGGCATGTTTATTCAGTGCAGGAATCCAGCCAGTCTGGGAGCAAGAGATGTGGAGCCACCTCCTTTCTGGAAGTCTTAATGTGCTGAATAAGAGCTAGGCTCTATTTCAGGGTCCCAAACAAGCAGCCTGTACATTCAAGAAAAACTCAGTGCCAGCAGGATACTAAGGGAAGTTAGGGGTCCTACTGTCATCAACCCAGTTGTCAAGAGTGCTATATTCAGGGCTTCTGTTGTTGCCCAGGACTTCCCTCTCAGGGGCTCTGGATTCTAATCTCATTGTCCAGATAATTAGCAAAAGCTTGGTCCTGCAAATGATTCCCCAAATTCTTCAGCTTCTGGGAGCTGAGGAAGACCAAGTCTTCTGGTTGAGGCAGAGATGGACATCTGATAGTCCTTGGCCATTACTGCTTAAAAAGTGTGGTTAGGAGAGGGATATTGGTGCCTTTGGAAGCTCATTAGAAATGTAGAAGGTCAGGTCCTACCCCAGACCCACTGAACCTGGGGTTTAAGGAGCACTGCTCAAGTCTAGTACTTCCAAAGTGCCTTAAAGCTCTGAAGATGTTTCTCCCACTGCTAGCTGATATAATTGGTTCCATCAGAAACCTGCCCTGACTACCCAAGTCAAATTTCAGAACCAAAAAAACCCGAAGACATCTGTTTAATGTTTTCATATTATAGATGAGGAAGCAAAGTTGGTAAAGTGACTTTACCAGTGCCACAATTCTTTATTGACAAAAATAAGGATGAGAACCTAAATCTTGTGATGGCTAGTACTGATTTCTTTAACACACACACATATACATAAAACTGATCTCCTTTCTGATTAATGAAACACTTAGGAAGTGCATACTATATGGCAGGCATTTTGTTAGGTGATTAAGATACAAAGACGAGAAAGTCAGGAATCAACTCCATGTAGTGGAAGAAGGGCTCTTCTTTCACTCATTCCTGGGCTACAAGGAATTGTACATGTAAAGCAAACTCAACAGTATTTCTCAGTGGTTTTGTTTTGTTTTCCTTTCTTTTTTGGAAGTATTGGGTTTGAAGTCAGGACCTTGCTAGGCAGGCACTCTGCCACTTGAGCCACACTCCAGTGCTTTTTTTGCTTTAGTTATTTTTCATGTGGGTTTCACATTCTTGCCTGGGGCCAGCCTGGACTGTGATCGTCAATCTAAATCTTCCTGTGTAGCTGGGATAACAGGTACATGACACCATGTGTGGCTTGTTGGTTGAGATGTGGTTTTGCTAACTTTTTGCCCAAACTGGCCTCAACTGCAACCTGCTGGATCATTGCCTTCCAAGTTGCTAAATGTGAGTCACTGGGCCTGGTCTTTCTCAGTATTTTTGAAAACTGTATCTCTTCTTTACCACTAGGGAAAAAAATTCTTTGCAGAAGCGTATGGAAGAGGAAGGATAGAAAAAGTAAAATGTAAAAACAAAATAAAAAAGTTTAAGTACATGGCAATATCAGTATTTGTAACCCACTTAGAGTGTAGTGCAACTATACATGGTTGATTCCATGTCTTGGCTATGGAGACTAGCACTATAAGATAAGCTTAAGGATGCCGTCATCTCTTTGATACAGTGATTTCATTTTCTTTGGGTATATCCACACTACTGGTCCTGGTCTTTGTGACTCTGGAAACTCTGGGATCTTTCTTCTGTTCCCTGTGAACTGAAATTCCATATGTGACTTGGTGTTGTCTTTTAACCTATTGTGCTAGGTATTTAGGATGCCTTTTTCAATCTGAAAAACAACATTTTTTAGTTCACAGAGTTTTTTTTTTTCCTGTGATACATTCCTCTCTGATTGTCTCTGTATCTTCTTGAATTTCTGCTTTTTAGATACTGAACCTATTGTACTGAGTATTTCCTTTTCTCATCTTTCCTCTCCTGTCACCCTTGCCTTTGAACCTAGGTTTTATTTTGGAGTGATAGATTCAACATTATTTTTGAAATTTTTTTTTTCAAATGTTGTTGACATTTTATTTTTTTAATTTTTAAGAGCTCTTACTTGCTCTGTGTTCCATTTTGATGGCACTGTGTTTTTATTTCACAATATTGCTCTTCCCTTGAAGGTGTCATTTTTTGTTGACTCTCTGTTGTATTTGACTCTCCAAGTTCCTTTTTTTTGTTAGCTTTGGCTTCTGCCTTTTGCTTCTTTCCTAGTGGACTCTTGTCTGTCTGTCTATTCATGTTTAGAGCAGGGCACAGAAAGCATATTGGACCAGGATTATTGATTTATAATCGGAGGATGCTGAACTCGTCAATTTCTTCAGAAAGGATTTTCTGAGACTCTTGTGGTGTAAGAGGATATCTCTCACTCAGAATGCGTTCATTGCAATGTTTTTGCACAGCCTAATGTCCCTGAGCCTAGTCTATGATTTAACATTAGCAGAGACCAAAATAGAAGGTTGATCCAAAGAGGTGGCAAGGGAAGGGAGAGTTTCCTGGCTCCAAGAGCTCAGTTAAGGATTGGCAGGGGGTGTCTAATGATCCCTTTTCTGTCCCACCAGTCCTGCTTTAAGGTGCCTGAGCCTCCAGGTCTGGAGCCTTTTCAGGTTTCTAGGTTGTACTTGTTGGAAACCCCTCTGAAAGCACTTAGGACATAGCTGTTCTCTGCTTGAGTTTCCCAAGTGCTTTTTGTCTCCAAACTGTTGCTCCAAACATCTTATCTGTTTCACCTCTTCTTTCTGTCTGTGTGGTTTTATGCCTTAAAAAAAAATCCCTTGCTGGTGAAGTGGCTCATGCCTCTAATATTAGCTATTCAGCAGAGATGGGGAGAATTGCGGTTCAAGTTCAGCCTGGGCAAAAAGGCCACAAGTCCCCATCTCAATGACTGGACACAGTTGGGCATACCTATTATTGAAGCACAAATAGGAAGATCATGGTCCAGGCCACACAGGCATAAAGTAAGACCCTATATCAAAGATAACCAAAGGCAAAAGGGCTGGAGGTGTGGCTCAAGCAGTAGAGCACCTGCCTAGCAAGCTCAAGGCCCTAAATTCAAGTCCTAGTCCTCTCCCCCCCTCAAAAAAAAATTCCCTTTACTTCTGCTTTAGTTTAATTTGTGAGGAAGCAGAGATAAATGCATGTACCTATTTAGTTTTGAAGGCCAACTCTGAGCTTCAGCTTTCTTATATTTAAAATGAATGAATTAGACCAAATCATCCCTAAGGTTCTAAGAATCTCAGATTCTATGAAGGCATGACTGTAAATTGGTGTTGTATGGGGCTGACTCTTAAAAATTGTCATAATCTGAGCAGCAGGGAAATTCTAGAGAATGAATCATCAAAGCTGGAATACTGTGTGGGTTGGATAAATGGAGAGGAAGGGAGCAGCAGGAGTGAATGCATACGAGGGTAGGACCATTGATGGAAAAGGTACATATTGGGAAGTAACAAAAAACAAAGTTGGATGTGCACCGGGTGTATGTTTAGTGCTTGCTGCAGAGGGCCTTCAAATGCTGAAATTTAAATGTAATTGCATGCAGAAACATGTTAGTGGCACAAAATGTAGACCAGTGGAACAGAATAGAAGACCCAGACATGAATCCACGCAGCTACGCCCACCTGATTTTTGACAAAAGATCACAAAACATACAATGGAGAAAAGACAGCCTCTTCAACAAATGTTGCTGGGAAAACTGGATATCGGCATGTAGAAAACTGAAACTAGATCCATGTCTGTCATCCTGTTCAAATATCAACTCAAACCTTAAAGCAACAGAGGTTAACATGAGAAGAGGATCAGGAACCAGTGTAAAGATCAGTTAGAGATGAATCAACTTGGGTTGTAACACATTTGTACATGAAAACAGTGCTAGGAATCTTTCTGTATAGCTGCCCTTAACTCAACTAGCAAAAACGCTTTGTCTTCCTTATTATGCTTATGTGTTCTTTTCAACAAAATTAGAGATAAGGGCAGAACAGGTCTTCTTGGAAGTGAGGGGGGGGAGTGGGGGAGAGGGTGAGGAGGAGGGCAGGAGGGAGAAATGACCCAAACAATGTACGCACATGTGAATAAATGAATAATAAAAAAAATTTTTTAAATAATCAACTCAAAGTGGATTAAGGACCTTAATATAAGACCTGAAACTTTGAAGCTAGTACAGTAAAGAGCAGGGAATACACTCGAACTTACAGGTGTAGGTAATAGTTTCCTAAATATAACTCCAATGGCTCAGCAACTAAGAGAAAGGATTGACAAATTGGACTACATGAAACTAAAATGCTTCTGCACAACAAAAGGAATGGTCACCAGATAGGAGAGACATCCCATAGAATGACAGAAAATCTTTGCCAACTATAATCTGACAAGGGATTAATAACCAGAATATTCAGGGAACTCATAAAAACTAAACTCTCTCCCCTGCAAAATCAATGACCCAGTGAAGAAATGGGCAAATGAACTGAACAGAGATATTTCAAAGGAAGAAGTTTCAAATGACCAAAAACACATGAAAAAATGCTCAATATCCCTGGCCATAAAGGAAAAGCAAATCAAAACCACATTAAGATTCCACGTCACTCCTGTTAGAATGGCTATCATCAAGAACACAAACACAGATGTTGGTGAGGATATGGGGGAAAAGGAACTCTTATTACACTGTTGGTGGGAATGTAAATTAGTACAACCACATGAAAAGCAGTATGTAGGCTCCTCAAAAAGCTAAAAATAGAACTACCATAAAACTAGCAATTCCACTCTTAGGGATATACCCCAAGGAATGTGTGTCAGGTTATAACAAAAGCACCTGCACACCCATGTTTATTGCAGCACTATTCACAGTAGCCAAGCTATGGAAACAGCCAAGATGCCCCACCACTGACATATGAATTAAGAAAATGTGGTATCTATACACAATGGAAAAAGAAGGAAAAAGATGGCTAATGATATACATCACATCTGTGTAGGAATAAGACTCAAGGAAACATGCTGAAAACTGTTAAACAACATGCGATAGGGGGAAAAGGGTGAGGAAGTGCAGTGGAGGGGGTTACATTGACTTAAGCACAATGCATGCACAGGTAAAATACCAAGGCAAAAATCCCACTGAACAATGAGCAGACACCTAAACAACAAAGGACATGAATGAAAAATACATCACACTAAAGAAAGGACGCTAATGTGAGGGAGAGGGTAAATGAAGGAAGTTAAGAAGGTGAATATGGGGCGTTGTTTTGCTGCATGATGCCCTGAATTACCTTGGACCTCTGCCAGCAGGAGGCCATCCCAGATGTGCCATTTTAACCTTGTACCTCCTGAACTGTATGGGACTTCAGCTATGCTAGACCAGGGCCAGGCATCTGAATACCTCTCAGCTCTCAGAAGTGTCCAACGGCCTCACCCTTCTTTCCCAGCACTGAGAACCCTACAAGCACCTCATAGGCCCACAGTGAAAACTTGGTGAATCAACACATGAACTGAGAATGTGAGAGTGAACGAACCCCTTCAGTCACCAGCTACTTCATTAAATGCAGCCCCTGGCCTACCAGGGACAAAGCTTCAAAAAAAAAAAGGAAGGTGAATATGGGTATGCACTTTCCATACCAGAATGAATATAGAATTTTTAACCCTGTTGAACTCAAGACTAAAGTAGAAAGGAGAAAAGTGGAGGAGATGAACCAATTCAGGATACAATACATATATATATAGAAATGTCTTAATGAAATTCTCTGTATAGCTATCTTAAACAAACAAAAATGTCTTTAAAAAAATGGAGGACAGGAAGGTAAAACAGGTCCTGTCTTACAGTGGTTGGTACCACTGTGGGGGGAGGAGGATATAAGGAAAAGGTGTAGGAGGGTGAATATGGTAGAAATACTACGTACTCATGTATGAAAATGGAATAAGAGACCTGATGAAACTTTTCTGAGTTGGGGGGGAGGGGGGGAGGAGAATGATGGAGGGGGTGAATTTAACTAAGATATATTGTAAGTACTTTTGTAAATGTCACAGTGTACCCCCAGTACAACAATAATATAATTAAAAAACTGTCACTGCAAAAAATATTTTAGACAGTTGTGGTGGGCAGCCTGTCACAGCACTGTGGAGGCAGAGGCAGGAGGATCGTGAGTTTCAGGCCAGCTTGGGCTCCATAGCCCAACACACACACATCTCAAAACACACATTATTGCCAAATAGTTGGGGGTTTTTGAGACAGAATCGAGTTATGTAGCTCAGGCTGGCCTTGAACTCACTCTGTAGCCTAGGTTGGCCTTGAATTCTCCATCCACCTGCCTCAGCCTGTACCACCAGGGCTACCTTTGCATAGCTCTTGTTCACATCGTTTCTCTTGAAAGTGAATTAGGCAAAAAAGTTTAATTTTTCTTTTCTAAAGGAAAACTTTTTAAAGCACAGTGATAATACTTTGAAGAATAATGCCAAATTGTTTGAGGCAAACTATAATTTTGATGTCATGTTTTATATGCTTTTATTTTTCTTATAGGTTATATTGTTGTATGCGTATAATTTGAAACCCTTAAAGATTTCAGACACCAAACAATCCACTGGTGGCAACATATTTGTTGGCTCTCTCTGGCTTCCTCTAAACAGGCAAGTAAAGATGGATCATCCACTGGAGGCCAGTCTGGCCTGTATAGCAAGACTATCTCAAATATCAACAACAAAAAGTGTCGTTCTCAACTCTTCCTTGCCTTGTAAATCCAGAAACATTGCAGAATTTTTTCAGAACCAAATAATAAAAATACTTATAATATAAGCAAAGTAGAAATTCATCAAACTGATAGGTTAGATTTCATTTTGCTCTGGTTATTTGGGAGAAGGGGGCTTGTGAACTATTTGTCCAGGCTGGTTTTGAACCATGATCTTCTCAATCTCAGCTTCCCAAGTAGCTAGGATTATAAGAGTGAGCCACTGGTGCCTGGCTTTGATTAGAATTTTAAATTTCTAACTTATTCTTTATTTTGGTGTGTTTGTGATCAATAGTAGAATTACAAAAAATAGGGACAAGCCCCTTCCACTGAGGGCATCACAGAGGATGGTGCCTGATAGTCTTCCATCTGATCTGTCCTCTGGTGGCCCTGTGAAAATGGACTTTCATTCACTCAAGCTGGCATTCCTGGTGTTCAATGAGAGTCAAAATCAGTGCTTGCTTATCCTTGTGAAGGCAAAGTAAATTTGCTTAGAGAAAGCAGGTCAGGGAAGATTCTCCTTTTATTTTCTGCTCACTCATCTCATTTGAGTTCTCATAAAGAAAAACATTGTTTTTAATTCTTGGTGTTTTCTTAACATCAATAAAGAGAAAAGACAATGTTCTCAGTAAACTCACATAAGGGTTTCTGGTAGCTGTAAGTGGTAGTTATGTTGCTGTGACATAGATGTAGTTCTCTGCCAAGATGACTATCTCAACCTTTAAATTTCCTGTCATTCATATTCCTACTTCCAGCTGGGTCCTGCCTTCCAGGTCCTGGCAGACTGGGTATAAGAGGACCCAGGTGTCAAAGAGAGCAGAAGCTGGTGGGGAGCTGGTTCAGCCCAGGCAGAATGGTGGATGCTTACTGGTGTTGCCAAGGTGGGAGGCCAAAAGGCTGGACCAGGCATTGACCTTTCGGGGAGATGAAAAGTATGAGGGAGAAAGGTGGTGAAAGGTGGTGAGGAGAGATGCCAGGGCAAGATGTCAGGCAGGTGAGGTCACAAGGACTGGATTAGGGTTACCTGATGTTGATCTTTTTTTTCTTTTTAAGCAAATAGCAGAAAACATAAGCACAAGTTAGATACGTACACAGCTGAGCAACAGATTTGGAAATTTTTTTCCTCAAATGCCCAGCTGGCTTTTTCTGGTCTCAGAGTGCTGTTCACAGGGCCAGACTGACCCATTTACCCTGGACTTTACAGTTTGGCATTCATGAACAATCTGCAGCTCAATGTCAAGGAATAATTTGTCTTTCCTACGATCCCAAGTATGAAAGAAAGCAAATATGTGTGTGTGCGTCTGTAAGAATATATATATATGTACATACATATATATATAATTTTTGGCAGAATTGGGTTTTTTAGTGGAGTTATAATTTTTTTTTAGTTAAAACATTTTAAACTATATTATTATTGTACTGGAGGTACATTGTGACATTTACAAAAGTTCTTACAATATATTATAGTTGAATTCACCCCTCCATAATTTTCCTTTATCCCTTCCCCCATTCTTAGAATAGTTTCTACAGCTCTCATTTTCCCATTTCCGTACATGAGTACATAATATTTTCACCATATTTGCCCTCCTATATCCTTTCCTTATATCCGCCTCCTCCCACTGGCACCAACTCCCCAGATAGAACCTGTTTCACCTTCTTGTTTTCCACATTTTTATTTAAGATATCTATACGGAAAGGTTCATTAAGACATTTCCATGTATATGTTTTGTATTCCAAATTGGTTCATCTGCTCCATTTTCTCCTTTCTACTTTAGACTTCTTCTTAAACAGGTATAAAAATTCTATATTTATTCTTATATAGAAAGTACATCATCCATATTCACCTCCTTTACTTCTTTCTTTTACCCTTCCCCTCCTGTTAGTGCCCTCCCCTTAGCATGACCTGCTTTTCATTCTTTTCTTCTGTTGTTTAGGTGTCTGTTCATTGGCCTCAGGAATTTTTGCCTGTGCATGCATTGTGCTTAAATCAGTGTGACCGCCCCCCGCCCACCACACATCCTCTCCACTGTCCCCCAACCCATGTTGTTTAACAGTTTTCAGCATGTTTCCTTATGTTTTGTTTGAATTGAACTCAGGCCCTCATGCTTTCTAGGCAGGTGCTCTACCACTTGAGCCTCACCCCCATCCTTTTTTTGCTTTAGTTATTTTTCAGATAGGGTCTTATGCTTTTTTGCACCGGGTCATTCTTGGACCATGATCCTCCTACCTTATGCCTCCTATATAGCTGGGATTATAGACATGAACCATGCATGGCCTAGTTGTTGAGATGGAGTCTCACTAACTTTGCACAGGCTGCTCTTAAATGCAGTCCTCATCTCTACCTCCAAAGTAGCTGTGATTACAGATGTGTAAGCCACCATGCCTAGCTACTTTTTTTTTTGAGGTGCTGAGGCTCAAACCCAGTGTGTACATTCCAAGCAAGTGCCTTTTGCCACTTCTGGAGGAGAAAGAATAATTCTGTCTCTAGATGTTAGAATGAAGAAGGGTGTTTTAGAATAGCATCTTCTCTTTATGAGATTTTTTAATGGTTAAGGATATATGTATTTATGTTATGTCCACCTTACAAAAACTCCCTGAGTTAGATGAAGTGGGTTTCGTTACTGCAGCCTTGCATCAGAAGGAATGCCAGGGTCAGAGAGGTTGGTTAAGTGGTTGTTGGGGGTCCCCCAGCCAGATAGAGCCAAGCGTGACTCAGTCCTGTAAGTCCCAATGCACTTTGTTGCAGCATTATTGGAGATGACCCATTGCTTTTTAATGAGAAAGTGGCCAAGCAAACTTTTAACAACAAATCTTTATTTAATCATTGCCTTTTTAGGACAAAAGTTTCTAATGCATACTATATAAATGAAAATCCTCATATATAATTAAAGGCCACCCATTTTTTGTTTTTGCCAAGAACCATCTTTAAAATGATCAAGTATTACACCGCGCTACAGATGAGGAGGCCATGGACAACCAGAGTTGACATTCTTACAACACTGTTGATGTCATCTTGCTTATGGATCATTTGCTTATTTTTCATAACAATTCCCTTCCTTAGACGCAAACACAGACACACACAGGCATGCACACTCATGCTGTTCCTGCAGCAGTCAACGAGGGCTGCGAAGTAACCATTGCCTCCTTCCACTGTAAGCCTTCTCCCTTTGGCCTCCACTCATTCACTGGTCTACCTCTCCTTCACAGCATCCACTGTCCACTCCCTCGAGGCCCCAGGAGTTTTCCATCTTCAGCATCACCAATACTGTGTCCTCTGCCTCCTCTTTGACTCTTGTTTTTCCCTCTTTTTTGATTTTCTTCCATACGTCCCTCTGCCTACTCTCCCCACTCCACCCCACCCCAGCACGTTGAAGTACTGTGGGGTCATTGATTGTCCTTTACAAGTCCTTGCCGACCTGTCATACTCTTACCTTCAGGTCAGCCAGACAAAACCTCCTGTTTGTTACCCAGACTTTCCTTGCCCATGCAAAAATTTGGGTGTGTATCTTTGAATCACTGTGCCTCTGTCACTTTGCAATATATATCGACCTGACTGTATAAATGTTATGAGAGTTAAGACTGCACTCTTTGCTCGTGTTTCTTGAATTAAGAAATGACTGAATGTATGATGTTTTGGGATGTCAGAAATCTGACTGTTAAATAAATGAAGGCTTATTTTACACATCTTATTGGTTCTAAAAATAAGCCATGTCTTTCTTAACTTTTCAAATAAAATTCATATGCATTTGCTGTTTTTAGAGTCATTTCAATTCATGAGAAACTATCTAGTCTTGCACAGATAGCTGAAATATCATTGCCCTCAGTTCCTGAAATTAATTCAAGTGAAGACATATGTGAACCAGAAGAAATGGAAGAGAAACCAGTTGACACAGACCTGGAAGTAAGTACGTTATTAAATAACGGAAAATGGCATTGCTATTGCATGATGATGTCATTACATATAATTATTTAAATTATTGTTTCCTCCACCAAAGCAGAAGCTCTTCCAAATGTATTGACTGCAGGAATCTGAAAGTGAATGCGAAGAACCAATCCAGGGAAATTGTTCAGATATAACTGAATTCCAAGAAACAGTGCCTTGTAACTTTAAAAAATTACTTTTATTTTTCACACTAAATCTATTATTAAATATTTTTATTGCCCAAGTCTGTGAAGAGGAGCTAGAAAATACAGATAAGCATAAATTCTTTGAGTCACTTTTGTGCGTATGCATTCTCACCAGATTCGGGGAGGGATGATTATCCTTACTTTATACTATTAATTTGATCACAGGCTCAGTGGGTTTTATGCCAACTGATGTTTATGTTTTGGAGAAAAGGGTCATTTCCCTTCTGCCCCCTGGAGTTCTGAACCTATTGAGAAATGGGGCACAGGAGATAGATATACGGAGATAGAAATATCAACATCATTACTGATACAGCTGATTAGCAAACTTGGTTTTAGATCTGTGGCCAAATGAGCTAATTAACATTTTACTGCTGAATTTGCCAGACTTGCCCACCTAGGCACACAGTTTTATAGCACACACTTGTTACTGCAGAGCTTCCCTATCCCCTTCTGCCTCCTGCCAGGCTTACTGCAGGTAGGGTTCCTATAAACAGAGATTGCCAACAACTAGCCTAGGATGCTTGGTTGTGTTTTCCCAAGCTCACCCATCAGATAATTCACTCCTTTCTCCTGGGGTAAGTTAGTGAAGAGTCCAAAAGCAGTTGAAGTGTCCCTCTTCTCTTGGAAGTAGAGTGGAAATCGTTCACCCTGTATGGGGTAGGAGTAGAAAATACATGTTCTCACTATGTCTTTAAAAAGTTTCCATTTGTTTATGAATCCATTTTCTTGAGATATACATCTATAGTTATCATGGAATAGCTGTTTCTTTCATTGTTTGCCTCCATGCCTATAAATACTCTGCAGTATCAGTTGTGAAAGGTGTCACTCTCCACCCCGGGCTGTTTAGGTCAGCCCCATTGTTAAGTGGGAACCTGCTCCATGTCTGTTCCTGAGAGCATCCAGACTGGTGTCATACCCATCATGTGGAACATTGTAGTCACTGTGGCAGAAGGGAGGAAAGGGGTCAGATCACACACTGTCATTAAAGTTTCCGTCATGTCATTTCCACTAACATTTAACTGGCCAAACAAGTCACATGTTGTCCCGTCCTGCAGGACACATCAGCGTGGGTAGCGAACCTAGAAGGGGAAGAATGAAGGGACAAGAGACACGAAGGAGACAGCAAGACAGGAGTTCTGATCAAGCTGCAAAATTTTATTGTTCACACAGGGGTATTTATGTGCTGAGGGAGTGAGGGGTACGACGAGGTGCAGGCTGGTTGGCTGGTTCTGCTATAGGACTTCTGATAGGGTGCACGTTCACGCCCGCAGCAAGGTAAACTCCCGGAAGAGAAGCAGGGGCGGCGCCATCTTGTGCTGGAGATGGAGAAGTTGGGACAAACAACCGCAAAATGTTCCAGGGCAAGGTCAAGACAGAATGGCTCACAAAGGGAGCCTTGTCTCCGACAACATGTTATACTAACAGTATCACTACCAGCTTGGAATAAGGAAAGGAAGCATGAGATATTGTTGAATCATCCAGATGATAGCCATAAATCATTAATTAATTTTTCTTGAGGCATCCATTTTAGGAGATAATCTATTGCTTTTTTTGTTGTTATATACAACAATTTAGCTAATTTGTTACTTTCTACTTCCCTTCTAAATGTTATATTCCAAATTTTAACTAAAGCAAAATTTAATATTCACATTATAATGACCCTCTAACTGTTCACAGTTTCATCAGGTTTGTATACTATGGTTTTTATCCTTTCTTGTAGGTTTCATTGTTTTTCTTTTTGTGGTGCTGGGGATTGAAATCAGGGCCTTGTACTTGTTGGGCAAGTATTCTACCACTTAAGCCATGCCTTCAGCCCTTGTACTTTTTTTTGATTTGTTTTTCAGACAGGGTCTTGAAGTGACTTTGCCCAGGCTGGCCTTGAGCAGGACCCTCCTCCTTCTGCATCCTGAGTAACTGGAACAGAGGCTTCATTGCCATGCCCAGCTGTTTGGTTCTCTTTGACTTGACTTTTATTCCTAACACTTCCCATTTATTACATCAGATCTCTAATGTGTTCCATCCATCGATTTTTATTTTACTCAAGGGTTGATACTAGTCACATAATGTCTCTATTTTCTCTCTCAACCCTTCCAACCTCCCATTCCAGTCGAAGCCTGGCTGCTCAGTGGCCTGTGTGTCATGGCCTGATTCTCAGCCTCCCCTTCTTGCTTTCCTGAAGGGTTGAGATACTTCCAATTTGGGTTGTATCCCTGATTTTCTTCTCTGAAAGCTTTTAGGATCTCTTCTTTATTTTTTATCTTGTAGGTCTTTTTCCTTAAGTCATTTTTGGCTAGGTTACTATTTGATTGGTTATCAATAACAAGGTAGTTTTAATTCTTAAATAATATTATTTATATGGCTCTTTTTTTTCTCGCTTACCTCATCTGTGTACTTTTATTAAATGATAATGTAAAAGCTGGCAACTTTCCTGATTTTCAGAGTATGTATGTTGGCATTTTCAGCTCAATTTACCAGTACCATGAGTAAAATGCGTTTTTCATTATTATGAAAGTAGCCAGCTGGATGCAAGAGAATGTATCAGGCAAGTGTCTTAGCCTTTGCACAATGCCACTTTCCAGCACCTACATCTTCTGTGCTCTATGCCTGGATTTAGATTTTTGGTAACATTCAGATGTTAGAACATGAATGGTGCTTATTGAAATACTGAGTGCTTATAAGAAATTCTCCAATAGGTCATATAGCTTGAACTCTCTCAAACCCTGGGAATTTTACGTACAGATATAGTCACACATTTCTCTTATCAAATGCACATTGTCCTCACGTCTATTTTCGAGAATAACTCAGCTCTCTTCATTTCACACTTTTTTTGTGAAGAGTACTTACAGTCATAGTTTTTCAGTCATAAAGTTATCAAAGTGCTATCTTTGAGCCATAGTCTAGAATATTCTTTGCTAAAAGTGCCCCAAATGTACCCCTACATAGTTCATATGGAAAATGGTTATTTTCTCCCAATGCATCTTTTTTTTTTTTCTAATTTAGATTGTCTGAGACAGGAGAAGGAATGTCCATAGAGTAAGGATTCCAGAGTGTGCTATGCCAGTTGGCATTACTACCTAGGGTCAGTCAGTTGCTCTTTTCAGGGACTAACTTTCCTCTCATCTCTAAAATCAATAATCTTTTCACTCAAGTACTACTGTGAGATGTAAAGATGGTTTCTTTGAGTAGAATGTGAGTCATCAAAAAATCCCTGGTAGTCAGATGCAGGTGTAAAATTCATCACAATGAACTGAATATCTGAGTCAAGAGGTTGACTGTGAATATTAACAAATCAGGAATAAATGGGAATAAAGAGATGGTGTTTGAATGCAAGTCAAGGAGGAATCCAGAGGACCTACCTTGTCTTAAGGAAGGCTTGTGGCTCGCTTTTATGTCCTGACTTGGTTACGTGTGACTGGGTCAAACTTTGAGTAGAACAAACTCCTTTCAATCTTGATGTTCTCCTCTGTATTTATAAATTTGTTTTATTCACTTCGAAAGTGTTTCTTTAGCTTCAAAGTGGGGGATTTTATGTAAGCTCCAGTTGTTAGTTCTTGTATGTTAAAGAAGGTCACCAGATAGAACTAATACTAACGTCTAGGTGAATTTGCAAGCAAATTAGCTCAGCATTTGAAAGTTGAGAAATGAAAGTAACATAGAAATTTTTCTTTTTTTTCCACAATACTAACCAGCTCTTAAGAAGAGGCTATATTCTGGGCTATATTAAATAAATCTCATTGACTAAATTTGTTAGTTTGCTGTCATGACAACCTTCGCTTGGAGCTAATTAGAAGTTAACTAGGACACTTGAGGAAAACAATTCCAGTCTCAAACTGGACAGGATTTCATGACTTCTCTAATTTGATAAATTTATCTCTATTATAGTGTATATTGACTCTAAGAGCCAGAAACAGGTGCCATTGGTTTGTATGTGGGGTAGTGAATCTTGTTATTTCTCACTCCCTTCATTTATTCTTTCTCACTTCCTTCTTTTTTTTTTTTTTTTGCAAATTTCCTAATGTCCAGAATAATCCAGACACTTTAGAACACAAATATAAATTTAAAATGAACTAGGAGGAGTACAGAACAGGTGTTCAATCACCTCTGGCTTGAAAACTTTGTGTTTCCTTCTAAAATGAAAAACAAAGTCTCAGAATGACTGAATTCTATTAATTTGTCATTTCACAGCTCAAGGTATATTTCAAGTCTATCAGGTGCTTAAAAACTAAAAACTGAAAGATGCCAATTATCCTGATTTTAAGATATAGAAACTTAATACATTTGCCAAGTTGCCTAAGTTAGTTTAGCAAATATTTTTGGAATGCTTGTATGGTACAGAGCACTTAAAATTAGCATATAGTCTATCTCAAATCTCAAAGTACTGTGGAAGCACAAAGAAAAATAAAACTGTGAACACACGCATCAATTTTCAAATTCTTTCTGAGAAACTATTATGTGCAAAACTTTCCAGGTTTGGGGAAGTGAGGACATATGGAAGTCAATACAACTGGAAGTCAGTACAACTGGGTCCCTGTCATAGAAGAGCTTAATCACTATATGAGTGTGTCCAGGGATACCCAGAAGTTGTTCATTATGATCCCAGGCATATGGTGGCCCTGTCTTAGCAACCTGTAGCATTCAAAGCCCTCTATTCACAACCACTGAAAATAATCTGAATATTTACAGTCTCTCATAGGAACATCCAAGGGTGAATCTTTCAATAACACACAACAGAACTTTTGTTGTTGTACTAAGGATTGCACATGCTAGGCAAGTGTCCTGCCACAGAATAAGATACCTCACCCTTTTTATTTTGAGACAGGGGCTTGCTAGGTGGCCCAGACTGGCCTTGAACTCTCCATCTTCCTGCTTCAGCCTCCTAAGAAGCTGGGATTACAGATACACATCACTGTGCTTGGCATAGCAAAACTTCCTTTAAATCTTTTTTTTTTAACTGTTTTTGCTAGATTTGTTTTGAAACTATAATGAAATACCTGACATAGTTATTTATATAGAAAAGAGGTTTATTTAGCTTGCTGTTTTGGAGATTCGAAGTTTAAATGACTGATGAGGGACCCCCTGGTGGATGGCAGATGGTAGAGCACCAGCTGAAGAGGATCGCATCTTAAGTCCAGAAGAGAGAAACCTGGGTGGAGCTAGGCTTCCTCCTTCATAACAGTCCTCTCAAGAGAATTCAAGGGGTTGCATGAGAACAGGTGCCCTGTGATCTCAGGGCCTTTCAGTCCCCAGTACCGCCACTCTGGGGACCAAGCCTTCAATTACATGAACCTTTGCGGGGGACACAATTACACCATATCCAAACTGTAGCACCAACCATCTTGCTCTGGTATCTTGCCAACATCCACAGCCCTCCAACGTCTGTTTCATTTCCTTCACACTCCAAAACTGTCCCTCCAACTCAGAGTATTTTGTTTCTTTTCTGCTTCCTGCCCTAACTCAGCAATTTCTTATCTAGTTCAACTTAGTGTTTCTGATTTTCAGTCTTCTTATTTTCTCATTAGGTGGATTCATACTACATAGAAGGGTGAGGGTTCTGGAATATTCCTTCTCTCAATGGTAGAGCTGTTGATTAAACTATTCTACTTGATCATTTTTTAAATTTCACTTACATAGATTATTTGTGTGATGAGAGAGAAATCTGACTATGTACTTGTTAAGTAGTTAAGACAGCATTTTATGGCTTCTGTAGACTGAAATAAAGGCTGTTTTTCCTTATACCCCCAAATATTCTATACTTTTACTGTATTGCTTTAATAATCTCTTTCTGTTCCTTGACTGAATTCCTTTGCTTATGGATTTGTTTTTATATCTCCAGTGTCAACCCCGGAACTGACATGGAGTGCCTCCTCAATAGTTGTTTGAGAAACTTCTAGTTGGAGGCCTGTGGAGAAAGCTCATTTCAGACTGAGGATAGAGCAAAAGAGATGAGATACGAGGTTTTGGAACTGAATCTTCTATTCAGGGGACACCAATAAGACAGCTGTTGTGGCAGAACAGGGAGGGCATGTGGTGGGAGGCGGAGCTGGAGAGATGGGTGGCATTAGCTCCTCTTCTCGGGTCTCACCATACCATGCTGGAGGAGTCTGTCTCCTGTTCCTCTCACTGGACCAAGCCCCCTTAAGGCTCTTTGTGTCTTCTTCATCCCTGTTCTCACCCCATAGCATGTAGGAGGCAGTCCACAGGTGTTCAGTGAATAAATGGTGCATGAACTTTTTCTGTAGGAAAGGGCTTTGCAATGGTGAGTTGGATTGGGGGAGTAGGAGAATGTGGAGGCAGTATCTCACCTAGAAGGGCATCTTACTTAGAAAGGCATCTCACAATTTACCTACAGTTTGGTAAGACAACCATGGTGGTATGTGTAGGAGAAAAGAAGGAAGTAGGAGCTCAAAGGTTGGAAAACAGGAAGATTTCCATGTTACAGGTGAAAGATGATGATTTCAACTAAGTGTAAGAATAGGCTTTAATATCTTCAAGTCACTGAGAGAGCCATTCCCCCCTAGAATCACAGGTGTTTTCCTTTTAAGGGAAAGGTGGCAAAGCCTGAGCCAGGCTCTCCCTGCCCCCCCAGTAACTACAGTATGCCTCCTACTACTTTCTGACTAGGATTGATGAGCTCTGTGCTTTCTGTCTCCATGAACATGGCAGCAGGTTATGTGAGGTGCTCACAACGCCAACCTCTAGTCAGCCAATTTCACAGTGTGTCTATGTGGTTCACCTCAAATAACACCAGAGCAATAAAATGTTGCTGAGGTGAAATTTCTACTTGATAAATGTTGAGACAGGCAGTGGGAGACATTTGTCAGGTAACATTGCTGTCTTCATCTGTCGTTAGATGAAATGATTAATGGTATAGGCAGCGTTATTTTGTTTGATAGTTCTTGATGAAATCATGACAATAACCCACCATGGGTGTTACCAAAATCTTATATAGAGAGAGATTAACCAGTGCCAAGAACTCAATTAGAGACAGAGATATAAATAAATCAGGAGCAGATAAGTGGATGTATGATCCCCTCTACCTAGTAAAGTGGACCAGGAACCTGGAAGGTCCATCATCAGGGTATCCCCTGATCAGTGCTGGGCCTCCTGCCTGCCCTCTATCCTTTTTAGACCATGGTCACTTCCTGCCCAAATGGTTTGAGTAGCCTCCTAGCTAATTTCTCTTCCTCTTGTCTCTTACCAGGAAAATTCACCATTAAATTGTGGTCAAAATTTTATATACATATATAAAATTTATATAATATATAATTTATATAATGTATACATAATTATATAATATATATGTATGAGTACACACATAAATACATTTTTGGACAGTACTAAGGTTTGAACTCAGGGCCTCATTCTTGCTAGAGGTGCTCTACCTTTTGAACTATACCTCAGCCCCTTTTCACTTTAGTTATTTTTAAGATAGGGTCTTGTGTTTTTGCCTGGGGCAGGCCTCAGACTGCAGTCTTCTATCTGTGCCTTCTGAATAGCTGGGTTACAGGCATGCACCACCATGCTTGACTTATCTGTTAATGATGTAGTCTTGCTAACTTTTTGCCTGGCCTGGCCTTGAACCACAGTTCTCCCAATCTTCATCAATCAGAATTACATTTTTAAGGCAATCCCTACCTCCTCCCAATTTCCCACACAATAAAATCCAAATTCCTTATTAGTATGTGATCTATTATAAATTTACTGTCTAGCCTATTTGTTACCACTCTCCATACTTCTTAGACATGCCTACTGAAAAGACAGTTAGATTCCTTGTGTTCCTCGAATGCTCACTGCTCCTTGCTTACAGGGTCTTTCCTCCTGGATTGTTCCTGTCCCCTTTATCTACAGGTTTAAATCCTATTACTCTTTCAGTTCATGTGAACCTTCTTCCAGGAAGTTCTTTCTTATTCATCATACCAAGAATTGCTCTCTCCCACCTCTAGGATCTGATAACCTGTCATAACTACCTGTGTTCTGACTACATTCTACTTGGTATTTAATTTAGTTATGCATGAACTCATTTTTCTCAGTAATTGTAAATTTTGTGAGGATAAGGTCTGTTTCTTCATCTTTGTGTCCAAAAGCACCTAATATAATATATTGAATGTTCGTTAAATTGAATTGTATTAGCTGTTGTTTTATAACTCTAAAATTGGATCTTTTCCATGTGCTTACATTTATTAAAACTTAGATAGGACATGGTTTGGGGCTGTAAAAGTCTATTGTTTATGTCTTCATTTTAAGGTTTTAACCAACATTGCCCAGTTCTAACTTAAAAACTAATGTATTTTTTATCATTTCAATATTCTGAATGCTAGTACTTATATGTGTCAATACTACCTTAAAAACAAATTATTGCTTCCTTCAGGAATGGATGCTAGCAACATTGTGAGGTAGGCATAGCTTATCTCTGACAATCTCATAGTCATAATTCCTTTAGTTGTAAGTAAATTAAAAAAACACTGCCCTCAAGTAATGTAGATTTGGAGGGAGGAGGCCAAGGACTAAAAAAAAAAAGCTCACAGAAAGTGCAACTAGAGAGTCAGGAGCCATAGCTGCCCTCTGGTGTGCAATAGATGTAACTTCTTTCTCATCTCTTGTTCCTCCTCTTACCTGTTTTGCAAGTGACCCAGTGATTGACTTCTCCAACTCAGCACCTGACCTCTCAGCTCACACAGCCAGTACTGACCAAAGTTCTCCTCTGTTATCCTTCTTCCCATGAAGTCACAATGCTGGGGAATCTGACTGATTCAGCCCTGCCCATGGGTAGGTCTGTCTTGGGTCAGATGTCCACCCATAAACACAGCTGTGTCAGTGCAGTGACAGCCATGGGCAGTATCATCAGTAGATGGTGTCTGCATGTGTTGACACCTCTCTCCTTTTTCATTCACTCTTCCCATTTCTTTCTCAACTACCAGTCATTCTTTTGTACTTAAAGCCTTTTTGTGAAACTGAGTCTCTTCATTCCAGGGCTCTCTTCTCAAAAGAACAGTGATTTTCCAAAACCTTATTTTGGTGTGAATTATTTTGCTATTATTCTCTGTAACAAATGAATTTTAGCAATGAATATACAGAGAACGAAACCTAAATTAATGTATTATTCATAATTAGTTGCAGATCTTATATTTTGTGGACATCTTGTATCAGAAATTGTGATTTCTCATCCTTTGTCATCTTGGGAACCTGTGTTGATTTATGCAAAATAAGAGAAAATAGTTTTATAATTAAATATGCACCAATCGTGCCCATAATATTAACCTCACTGTATTGCTTCTTTTTTATTTCTAGAGCATGATTATTAAATGTTGCTCTGAAATAGAAGCTCTGTTTGTGACTGATAAGGAACCAACACCACTCACCGAGGTATGTACATCTCCTATACAACTATCTATCTTTTTTACATGTCTGACATAATTTACTTCTCTATGCTATAAAGCTATCTGATTCATTCACAGGTGCTACTTTTGCCCAGAAACGGCAACTGAAAGCATCTAATTGCAAATAGAAAGGTCCTCACCCTCCTTCATTAGTCTGAAAAAGCAATAAATACGAGCTTACAATACCATACTACTTTGGTTAAAATATTCTTTGTAAAAATTCACCTAATACAGAAGATTATGAAGAGGGTCATTTTAAGATCACTTCACATCTACCATTCAGAGAACAATGCCTACTGACCTTTGGAGACTATCTAGAATTTTCTCCATATATAAATAAAATTTTAAAAATTTTAAATCAATAATATTACACTTTACAAACATTCTGTAACTTGCTTTTTCATTGACCAATGATATCATGGAAATATTTTCTAGGAAGTTTACCTTGTTGGATTTAATGCCTACTTAATAGTTTTGTGTATTATAGTGCTAGACACTGTTTACATAGCTAGATACTTACTGATGGATCTTGAGGTACATATATATGTATACATATTTATAGATTATATTTACATATAAAATACATTTTACTATGTACTATATATTATATCATCTATACAGTAGAATATGGCTTATACAAAACCTTCTAATTTTGCCATTTGGAAGTATATATGTAGTTTAGTGACATGAAGTACACTCACGATGCTGTACAGCCATTACCATTATCCACCTACAAACGGAAGCTTTGTGTCCACTGAGTAATTGACTTTCCCGTGCTCGTACCACCCCTCCTTCCCTAATGCCTAGTGATCTCTCTTCTACTTTCTGTCTTTCTGAATTTGCCTCTCCTAGGTGCTTCAGATAAATGAACTCATGTAATAGGAATATGTATGTATCTGGTTTAATTCATTTAGCACAATGTTTTCAAACTTACCTATGCTGTGGCATGTATCAGTATTTTTTTATTCCTTTTTAAGGCTGAATAACACAGCATTGCATTTGTATGCCTCATTTGTTTATCCATCTGTTAATAGATATTTGGATTTTTTTGCTTTTGGCTTTTGTAATAATATTGGTGTGAATATGGGTGTACAAGTAGATTTTTGAGTCTTATTTTCAGTTCTTGGGGTTTATACCTAGGAGTGGAATTACTAAATAACATGGTAATTCAATGCTTAACTTTTTGAGGAATCCCCAAACTGTTTTCCCCAGCAGCTGTACAATTTATACTCCTACTAACAAGGCACAAGTGCTCCAATTTCTCCACATTCTGGAAAAACACTTGTTATTTCATAATGCCCTCCTAATAGGTGTGGAGCGGTATCTTATTTTGATTTGTATTTCTTTGATGATTAATGATATTAAGCTTCTTGTCATGTGTCTATTAGCCATTTGTATATCTTCCTTAGGGACAGATCTATTCCATCGTTTGCCCATTTTTGAATTGGTAGATACATTTTGATGTATGATTGCAAATGGCCCTTCAGAAATGTTACATCAGTTCTTTTCTGCCATCAATAGTAGATGAGAAGAGGCACTTCAACCGCTGGTCAACTAATTTTAATTAGATTTTTAGTAGCCAAATTTATTTTGAAGAGCTAAAAGTAGAAGAAACATTAGTAATCATTTTCTTTGCTTGCGATGTAATTTATTGTCAAATCTATAGGAATTAGGCTAGTGTGCAGGAGGCCACCATGGGATCCCAGTAGGGCAGGATTCACCCACCTAAGGAAGGGTGCCTCCCACTTGAACCTCAGGCTGTACTTCCACTGAAAGAAAGACTGACGGTGCTGGGTTGGGACATGAGCATTTATGAACTTACCCCAAGAAATAAATTGTTAAATAAAACTACATGCTTTAGTGAAGCTGTTTTTTGGGGGGGGGGGGTTGGGAGGGTTGTTTTTTTTTGTTTTGTTTTATTTTTTGTCACCAGTATGTAATTTTGCTGTGTAATTTGGTTCCTTACTGGTTTGAAGATAAAAAAGGTGATCCTCGATCAAGAGATAAGATACATCATACAGAAATTGCACAGTAATTTTTCTTGGCTGTACAAGTGTAGTTGGACTATTGTTTTTCACTCAGAATTTTTAGCAGAGTACCTGATAATAATAATGTTAGTAATAATTGAAATGCAAATACTACTAGCAGTAATTTTTTTTCTTTTTTTATTCATTCTTTTATTTTTTAGCAATAGTGATAATAACAATAGTCAATATTTATTGAGCACATGGCATGTGCAAACATTGTTAAGCATTTGAAATGCATTACCTCATTTAATGTTACAAGAATCTTAAAGTTGGTTACTATTACTATCCCCATGTTAGAGATGGGGAAACTGATGCACAGGAAAATTAACTGAATTCTAAAGATCTCACAACTTACGTGTGGAGGAGTCAAGAGTCAAATACAGGGCTGCTTAAATCCAGAGTCAGGGAGTGTTATACTAGAATAGTGGGACCAGTTGAGAAAGTGAGGATGAGAAAGTAAAGATTGGTGGTGTGGATTAATCTTTAAGCCAGTTTGGGACTGTAGGAAAACTACTTGAGGGAGACAGAGTCCAAGGAGGATGTTCCAATAGAGCAGTCATAAGGGAAAGGAATTAGGAGGGGTAGAGGTTACCTGGAAGGACAATGGATGGAGCAGGACAAAGAGATGGCAAGGATCAGGAAGACCTGAGTCACACAAGTGAGACTGTGTGACTCTGGAAGCAGAGGGAAAACACTTCACCCTCTAGGACTGATCATGGTGGGAAGGGATATAAGTAAGTTTGTAAGAAAAAGGTATGGGAAGCTAGGGCAGTTTCTCCAGTGGTTTCAGTTTTCCCAGTGAAGTGGAGGCAAGTGTGTCTATTGGAACGAGGCAAGAAGGTTGAGGACACAGTCTTCCAAGAGAGGGGGAGGATCTTGAATCTCATGGACTTTGAGTGCAGTAGGTGAAAAGGCGGATGCAGGACAAATAACAAAATGGATAGCCCCATTGAGACTTGAAAGTCATAAATTTGTTAGGGCACTAGGCCTCTTGGCTTGTGATTTTTCTCCAGTAGCACTTGGCTTCTTTCATACAGAAATGGAAAAATGCCCATAGAGGCATATTGTTTTATGGACCAACCAGATACATGGGAAGTAAGAGTACTGATGACACAGTGACAACCTTGAGGAGGCTGGGTGGGTTGGAGCAGCTCTAAATTTATCTCATCATCAATGGAAGTGCTTCTCCTTCTCCTTCACTCTGAGAAATCACCACTATAGCCAGACATGTGCCATTATCTCTCAAGTCCCTATCGAACATAAATTAGCTGATGCAACCTGCTTTCTTAAGAATATTTTCAATTTAAGTGGGGATGGGAGTATAAGAGCGATTGAATTTGATCAAAGCACATTATATGTATGTATGGAAATATCGCAATGAAACACTTTGTGAAAGAGAGAAAAGAACTGAAAAAATATTTTCAATGTGATCTATAAATTCTTTAATAACTTTCACCTTGTTATTATGTGCATTATGAATGTATATTTCTTTTTACATGGCCAAATTTAGTGTGCCCAATTCTGTTCTTTCTTATTTTTTCAAATTATCATTTTGATATGTTGATGCTAAGATATTGACATCAACCATTCACTAGTGATTAAAATAATTATTATTCCACTATGTTAACATCCCTTAGTTTATTTAGTCATTTGTTCCTTTATGTCTGATATAGTGATTTCACTATGTTACTGTCTGTACCTTATCAACCCTTATGACTTTTTAGTGTCCTAAATAATCACTCTATAATGCTAGCCTCTTAATGAGTTATTGTGTAAAAGTGGGTAATAATACATTCAACCTGTGTTAAGTTAACCAAGGCTGGTGTCTTCATCACTTCCTTCTTAAGCCCTTGGCTTCTAGCTCTGCAGTTAATAGCTTTTAATGAAAATGTGTTACAATGACGTGCTTCCATATTTGTCGCCCCTACTGGTGCTGATTGGATCTTGCATAATAAGATTGGGTCTTATGTTTTTTATTCTCAGTGCTTTGTCCAGTGTCTGGCCCTAGCAGGTGTTCAATAAGTGTTAAATGAATGAGTAACTCATGACACGTTTTCCAGATATAGTCCTTGATTGCAGTTCTAGCCCTGACATTAACATTGAATGTGGGGCCATCGGTTTCAGTCATTTGTACAGTAAACATCTGTGAAGTGCCTCCTCTTGTGGCAGCCATTGGGATAGGCACAGGGATGCAGAAGTGAAATACAGAGTCTCTGCCTCAAGAGAGTCCACAGGTTAGTGTAAGTGATAGATGTCACAGAAGCAATTGCAGTACAGAGTGGAAACAGACCTGAGACTTGAGCCCACTCCTCGGTTCCTATCACAGTCTCTCACTATAGCTTTGGTATCTTTTTAGAAGGGTTTACTAGTTCCCTCTATGAAATTAAGTTAGTGTCCCATTGTTAAAGTTTTTAATCACTTTTAAAAGTGATTGCAAGGTAATAGAGTATCCTTCAGAAAATACAAACATGATCAAGGGCATTTATGGATGCATTTTCCTCTGATTAGAAAAGTCTTTGAGAGATAAGGCACAAAACAAGCCTCGGCTCTGGCAGTAGGCTTAGCAGTGAGGGCATGATTTATGGTTTTGCTATAAGGATGGAGACAATGAGGGGAAAAAAATGTCAGCTGAGTCATCTCCATTTAAGAACTGCAGCTGAGTGCAAGGCCCAGGACTGGAGCCACTGGAGGAATCAGAGATGACAAAGATGGTCCTTGCCCATAAGAGTCTGATAGTCTAGAAAGAATGGATGGGGCTTATGCTTACATAGGGGAAGATGATGACTGTAGTTTTAAACAGATGATTCAGATGATTGTTGTACACGAAGTTGGGGAAAATGAGGGGGAGAGTTTAAAAGACCTGTCCAAAGTCACACAGCAGATAACTGACTCAGCCCAAACTAGCAGACTCCAGGGCCTGCTGTCAACCATATCATTATCCTGATGCCAGTCCTGCTCA